TTGTGACTGACCCAAGGACACCCAGCTGGCTGCATGTGGAGGAGTGGGGAATCAAACCCCATTCTCCCAGATTAGAATCCACTGCTCTGAACCACAACATCAAACTGCAGCCAAGTGCAAGTGGTTTTTAAAGGAATTATTACCTAGTGCTGTACACTTGCATACAAATCTACACATTCTAAAGGAGTAAAACCTTACCTTAAAAATGGATTTTGGTCTTTCAAGAAGGGAAAATATTTCATATACTGATATTTCTCAGCGCTTTCCAGAAATTTCTCATTGGGGAAAAAGTCAGTGGAGATTCCTCCCCTAATTTTCTGGGCCTTCACATATCCAGCCCTCCCACTTCTCTCTGTTATGCCATTCAGACCAATTTCTCCTAGTGGCTATTCACTGAAAGTGTCACTGAGAAGGTGGGCGGGGATGAAGCAGGAAGCAGGACCAAGCAAGCAGGAGGTCCAGGTCATGAGAGTCGGGGACCACCCCTACCTCCACGCATCCTTTACGAGAGTCGGGGACCCCCCCTACTTCCACGCATCCTTTACGAGAGTTGGGGACCCCCCTACTTCCACGCATCCTTTACGAGAGTTGGGGACCCCCCTACTTCCATGCATCCTTTACGAGAGTTGGGGACCCCCCTACTTCCATGCATCCTTTACGAGAGTTGGGGACCCCCCTACTTCCACGCATCCTTTACGAGAGTTGGGGACCCCCCTACTTCCACGCATCTTTTACGAGAGTCTGGGACCCCCCTACTTCCACGCATGCTTTACAAGAGTTGGGGACCCCCTACTTCCACGCATCCTTTATGAGAGTTGGGGACCCCCCCTACTTTCACACATTCTTTACAAGAGTCAGGGACCCCCCTCCTTTACACATACACTTTGTAAGTGTAGGGGAAATTAGGAGTGCAGGAACCTTTTCATGGACTCCCATCCCCACTCTGTTCATTGGAGAGGGAGAGAAACTGGCAGGGATCTCAGTTGCTTCAAGAAAGAGAGACAGTTGTTTCAAAGAACCTCTTTCTTATTGAACTTCAGACCCAAAATGCAAAACCTTCCAAACATACAAGAATCTGGTATGCAGCATACAAATTTGACTCCTAATTCTTAATTCAGTACTTAAATATAGTGCACTGTAGTTCCACGAAGGACATCCTTGGTTGCTCTGTCAAGACCCATAACGGAGGGTGGTTGGCCAGAACAACCAGGCACGGGAGTAAACCCAGATATTAAGTGCCCCTTTCCATCCACAGGAGCTGATGTAACTGTCAGGCAGCTCTGTGCTGAGCATCTCGTGTATTCGACAAAATCCAGCCCCTTTCACACAGTAAGGCGTGAACTTTGCCTGTAGTCAAAAGAATTTCCATGCGGGCAAGAAGCCCCGGCTATCCTGGCATCTCTTCAAGTGACAATCTGTATATCATCAGTGGTTCAGGATCACTCTGGGTAACCCTCTCTGTGTCAAGGAGGAACCATGGAAACACATACCCCATATCTAGATGTTTAGACTGTTACCTTGGTCTCTGGAAATGTAAACCATTCTTTCTAGGACAGAGGGCATTGTCTCTTGACAGTGTTTGCTTGGGAGCAGCTAACCACCAAATGAGAAAGAGCCAATGATTCAGCCATAGAATTTAATACCAGATGGGTTTGCAAGGGACTGAGGCTCAGTTGAGGCCTCCAATTCCGCACCAGTAAGCTCCACCATGACCTGAGTCTTCCTCGGAAAAGCTGGGCAGGAAGGAGATGTCAGAGAGCGGCTTTATGTGATTGCCGGTATTCCTGCATCACGGTCCTCTTAAAGTTAAGGCCTTTGACCACTCCGGCGCTGATCCCAAACAGAAGACTGATAGGTGATGCACAGACACCACTGTCTGCACAAGTTCCCTCTGACCTGTATAAGCTTTTGTGCACACGCACACTTTGTATCTTAAGAAGTGTGCGTGCACACGAAAGCTTATACCTCGAATAAAACTTTGTTGGCCTTAAAGGTGCCACGAGACTCAAACTTTGTAGAGCTTCGGTATATAGTAATCTGAAATGGAATCTTCCTCAGGTCTGTTCAGTGTGTCTCAGGGCTATTTTGGGGCAGGAACACACAGGAACGGAGTTCCGGCTGGCTCCCGAGTTGGCCACACCCAGCAGGAACTCATTAGCATAATAGGCCACACCCAACAGCAGAAACTCATTAGGACTGGCTACATTAGGGGTGTGTGGCCTAACATGCAAAGGAGTTCCTGCTACAAAAAAAAGCCCTGGGTTTTGACCACAAACAAGGTAAACAGAATAAGAAGCAAAAGGTTACTTCTGGTAACATGGGGGTGTGGCCTAATATGCTAATGAGCTGTGCTGTCAGGGTGTGGTCTAATATGCTAATGAGTTCCTGCTGGGCTTTGTCTACAAAAAAAGCCCTAGTGGGGCTTATTCCCACGAGTGTTCTTAGGAATGCAGCATAACAAACTTCAGTAGGTGCTGGAGGAGTTTCAGCATTGGTGGTGGTGACCAGTTGTGCATTTACATGCAAGAGAAAAAACAGGTTTAGGAGTCCTCTTTCACTCTCTCTCTCTCTTTTTAAATAGGCGTTTTTTACGGGAGACGTTGAAAATGTTAAACGCAGAAGATCTGAACCGCTTAACAGCCTGCTCCCTTGTTCTCCTGGGTCACATCTTTTATGTATTGGGGAATCATAGGGTAAGCATTGCCAGTTTACTTCTGCTTTTGCTTCTCCTGTGCTGAAGATTCCGTGTAGGTTGGACGACTGGGGGCATGAACTCCATCTTACTAAACTCCCACGAGGTGCTATTTGCACACATGTTGTATGTTGACAGATCTGTGACATTTGAAGTCCGTCGTGCCAACTTCCAGACAGCAGCTGGCTGGCTTGGGAGAGATTATAAGCATGAATGCTCAAGCTGCCTGCCAGGGCGTACAGGTTTCCCCTGAGAGGGTTGTGAGGAATGAATGAATGAAATGGAGGATTGTGTGAGCCAGAGAGGAAGCTGTGCCTGTTGTCTCTGCATGATTCCCTGGTCTGTCCTTGCCTCCTTCCTATGAAGGTGTCCATGCTTGGCTTTTCATTTGAGTCTCTCCAGATAATGGCCCTAGACCAGGCAAGGGACCCATAGTCAGGCAGGGAATGCTAGATGTCGAAAGAGAGAATGATATTGCCAGGGTTTCAAACGTTTTAGGCCCCACCCCACCCCCCGGAGATATGTGGTTTCTCCAGCTTCTTAATTGTCGTGCTTGGAAATCCTGTCCTATCGAAGGGGGTTTTCTATAGCCCGATGCAATATTTTCCCATCTGCGGTCGTAGAAGGCCGTTACAAAACGGTCCCAATGACCGAGCGCTTCTGCTCTTGCGGCACTGGTAAAGTGGAAATGATGGCACATACTTTGTTAGATTGTGGGTACTATCAATCAATACATGCTAAGTACATCCAACCTATACTGGAGAGATTTTCAGGTCTCCCAGATTTGGAATTAAGTAATATGCTCTTGCTGAATTCTAACCCCCAGGTTACGCTTGCTTGAGCCACATTCTTGATCGCAGCCTATAGAATCCGCAGTGAATATGTTAAGGAGTGAGACAGACAATCCTTGAGCCTTTTGAACTTCTTAATTTTCGGAAGACTGAAAATTCTGCCCTTTAAAAACATTTGTATTTTTAAAGTCATTATTTCCAATTTGACGGTTGGGTACCTAGAGTATGGGTATCCAGCTATGTTTCTAACTGATTGGTGCTGGTTATGCACCAAAATAAACTCTCGTTGCTGTTGGTCATCCTTCCCAACCAGTCTGTATATAGGGAGGGGTAATTCTGTTGTTCCTCTGCATTGAGAGTGATGGCATCAGGGGTCATTTCCTCCGGGAGTGCAGTGCACAGGAGCGGAGCTCCGTCAGTAAGGAGCCCAGGGGATGGGCACTTGCAACAAACCCTGCTCCCAGCAGCCCTCAGTCGAGCCACGAGCAGCAAGAAGCAGCCAGGTAAATTGCAGAGCCCC